ACTGATTGAATAGATACTGAGAAAGCAAAATGGCTTTTACATTTGTATATGTGTAGCAATGTCAGCAGCCATGGTGGCTAAGTAAGATAGCCTCGATGCCCTTTTCTACTAGCATGTCCTCTAGCTCCTGCAGAAACTTAGAAGTAGAAGTTGACCAATAGAGGCAGATATAAATGATTCATATAATAAATATGGATAACTCACTCAAAGTAAGATAATAAATAAATAATAATTTCCTAAACTTGGATTTATTTATTTTTTTAGCAATTATTTTCTTACAAAAGTAGTAAAATTAGTAATTCCAGTTGAGAAGCTTGATCTTATAATGGGATGCAAAACAGTAATGTATAGTAAATGGCAAATGGTAAATGGACCTGTACTTGTATAGCACCTTTCTAGTCTTCCGACCACTCAAAGCGCTTTTACACTATGTGCCACATTCACCCTTTCACACACATTCACACAGTGATGGCAAAGTCCATCGAACAGAAACTAACATTCATTTGTGTTCATTTTGTTAACATTCATATGTTTCAGTACATTGTCCCTTAACGATCACTAACAAACAGGTATTTCAAAAGGCACCAGCAGTCCACCATAGTGTATTGTACAGTCAGTGCTCAATACACAACCCGCAGTTCAACTAACAATGAATTCTTATAAATATTCCGTTTCTGAAAGTCAATACGTTGGCCAACAACAGTAAACCAAAGTGACATCTCCTGCGTCTAATAGACAAGCTTAGCGATTCTCCAACAACTTCATTCTGAGGACGGACTGGGCCTCTTCCTGTTCCGAATGTGTCCTTTAGGCCTCAGCCCGATGGATCCAGCTGTACAGGTCACCAAAATGTAGCAGCATAGAGGCCCATTCTTAGCCGATTACCACACATGACACATATAAACATACATACTGTACATAACATGTCCATTTCTGATTGATTTCCAAGGTTCAAGAATGTGGGTTTTACGTAGTATGAGCCAGTCTGAGGGCAGATGCCATGGGAGACTGGTGATACGGACACACAAGAGTGGCAAGCTGCATGCAAGGAGAAACTTTTTATTTATGATTTCCATGTCGGAAAATGAATGACAAGCTTAAGTCTCGGTGTGGTTGTGGCTCAGGAGGTAGAGGGAGTAGGTGGTTCAATCCCTACCTTCTCTGATCCACATTACACTGAACCCCAAATTGCTTCTAATGGTGTAGCTAGCACACTGTAGCTCACTGACGTCATTGTGTGAATGTCTGTTTACAAGTGAATGAGTAGCAAAAACCCCTCATTCACTCGTAAAGCACTTTGGATAAAAGTCCTATTATGTAGCCATTTGAAGTATTTTGGGTTAGTTTTGTCTGCGTCTAATTTTTCGACCTCAATTAACTGGAACCAACACCAAGGTCAAAGTTCACAGTTGGATCGGAGCGGCCTCAACCAGCCAGCATAGTGAGCAACACTGGGGCTACCCAGTTGGGCAGCAGGCCTGCTGTGGCAATTAAACAAGTATCACAGCAATATTTTCAAGTGAAATGGCAACCTCTGGTGGACACCCTGTTTAATTACATTCAAGACAATTCAATTTTCTTTTTTTCAATTCAATTTTATTTGTATAGCACCAATTCATAACAGAAGTTATCTCAGGACACTTTTCACATAGAGCAGGTCTAGACCGAACTCTTTATAACATTATTTACAGAGACCCAACAGTAGTTGTGGAGAGGGTGTCTGCCTCCCGAACCACAACTGGAAGCTGATTCCACAGGAGAGGAGCTTGGTAACTGAAGGCTCTGGCTCCTGTTCTACTTTTAGAGACTATAGGAACCACAAGTAGCCCAGCACTCACAGAACGTAGTGTTCTAGAGGGATAATAGGGTACTATGAGCTCTTTAAGACAGCGTTCTGAATTAATTGGAGCGTTTTAATGGACTTATTGGGGCAACCTGATAATAAAGAGTTGCAGTAATCCAGCCTTGAAGTAACAAATGCATGGATTAGTTTTTCTGCATCTGTCTGTGATAGGATGTGTCTAATTTTTGTAATATTACGTAAATGAAAGAAGGCAGTCCTTGAGGTTTGCTTTATGTGGGATTTAAATGACAAATCCTGATCAAAGATAACTCCAAGATTCCTGACAGTGGTGCAAGAGGCCAAGGTAATGCCATCTAGAGTAACTATATCTTTAGACAGTGAGTTTCTAAGGTTTTTGGGGCCAAGAACAAGAATTTTCTTTTTTTTTTTTTGACATCAGAAAATTACAGATCATCCAGGATTTTATGTCCTTGACATGTTTGTAATTTAGATAATTGATTAATTTCATCTGGCTTGATTGATAGATATAACTGCGTATCATCTGAGAAGGACTAAATGTCACTCTTATACCAACAGTAGGAAAAAAGAGAGTTAATATAAGCAAGGACAAGACTAATTTCTGGAGGGTGGCATAAGAGTGACATTCAGTCCTTCTCAGTGAGGTAAGTTTTAAAGTTGAACAGCAATCTGTTTTTTTTTTAAACAAGTATTTATTGAAGATTTTCTCATTTTTTACAGAAGAACAGCAATCTGTTTAACCTTTAACCCACCTGTTCCCTACTGATTGCTACATCAGATTTTACTTTTGGTTCTTTATTTTCATGTTTTATGATTGAAACTATTTACATTTGAACTTGTTTACCCTGGATATTTAATTTATGAAGAATTACAGATCCAGATTAGTGTCCGTAGTTCACATTGGTCACCAACACCTTTGACAAACTCCGCAAAACAATGTGTTATTGTTGTTATTATTTATTCATTTATTGTTTTATTTACAAATAATGACTAGTAATTCACAGAAAGTATGGGAGTCTGGAGGTCTGGCCAAAACGAACAAAGGGATGGAGGAAGTCTGGGCAAAACACTCTGAGGGCAGTAGGACCCAGAGTTTCCCATCCTGAACTATCAAAATAATTGGAACTGAACAAAACGTGGACAACCAGACCTCCATCCTCAAAGAATAATACACAAAAACAAGAAGCAAAAGACGACAAAGGACGTTTGACACCTCCACAGGATTCGGTTCAACACCTCATTCTTCTAAACTTTGTGCTCCATGCTGCTGCTGACTCTGGGGTTGAAGGTAAATGTTTCCACTTCCCCCACATCCTCCACAGCCTCTCTCTCCACTGTGATATTTCAATGTCGTACTACTTTGTTTCCATCAGGTGAGTCCCTCCTCTGGTTCAACTGCATCTGAAGGAAATCACAGAAAACTTGTGTAAAGTTATGTTTGTAGCTGTGACTATAAATCTGAAGTCGGCCTGTTTTATTGGATACAGGAGGCTCTAACCTGACTGGACTTCACACCGTGTCTTCCTGCTGCTCTGTGTCTCCTGTTGTGTCCATCTGATGGGGAGAGATGACAAGATGAAGTTCAGTGGACCTCATTCATGAAATCTGTATATAACATTTTATGAAAAATGTATTTAATTAAGTTTAAAAGTAAATTACTTTCTGGTTTCTTCTCATAATTTTTTCTTAAGCTATTTTAAACATAAATTCACTTCCCAACGTTTTCACTTTCAGAGCATTTATGAGTGAAGTTATTATAACCAAAGTTCTGTCAACAGCTCCTCTCTCTCTCTCTCTCTCTCTCTCTCTCTCTCTCTCTCTCTCTCTCTCTCTCACCTCTATTGTCTCTACAGGTTCTTGTGGTTCAGTGGTGGAGCTCAGAGTTTTCTTCTTCCTGGATTGAGTTCAACAATAACAAATATAAAATTAAACCTAAAGAAATTCATGAGACTTAAACAAAAAGAAATCTGAAGAGAGCAGGAACTGAACTGATGGATTGTGATTGTTTTACCTCGTCCACAGACTCAGGAGAAGAAGAGGAATCAGCATCAAGCCCACCAGAGTCAACCTGATGATATTCATTATGATTGTTGAATTCCCTAGAAATACAGATAGATATGTGATATACCTCACTAATAGGATTAGACTGATAAATCACTGGCAGGTGATACTGTCTGTTAGTCAGTCAGAGTCATTAACCTCCAACATGATAGAGGTTCCTCCCTGAACACAGCTACAGTAAAACAGTCTGGAAATGCAGACAGGAAATTGTATTTTCTTTGCAGCATTTCTGTGTTGTTACAGATTATCATGTGAATCTGGTCTGGTGCAGTAAACAGGTGTGTGTGCAGGTGAATTCGGATAACTTACCTGCTACAACAATCAGATGTAAGGTGGAGTTATGGCATCCTCTTCTGTTCTGGGCTTCACAGTAATAATTCCCACTGTGTTCAGGTCTGAAGTCAGTGATGGTGAAGTTCTGTCCTGATGCTTTTGGTGAGTCTTCATCCTCCTTGTACCAGGTATAAGTAGCTGCTGGGTTAGCATCACTGCTACAGGTCAGAGTCACTGAACTGCCCTCCACTATCTCACCAGAGGGACTCACTGACACAGAGGGAACCCTCGGAGCATCTGGAGGAGATTTAGAGTGATCCATGTCAGTAACATCAGATAATAATGTATGTATTAAATGTCTTGGCTATGTCACATGTTTCATTTTGGATGGAGGGCATGTATTTTGTCCTTAGCCTTTTCTAGAGATACCATTGTCTGTCTGTCAACAACTAAAGACATCAGTTAACACAGTCAGCACTTTGGTCAACTCAGGTTGTTTTAAATGTGCTATATGAATAAACTTGATTTGATTATTTGATTTGAACAATAAATTCACATTACTTGTTTGGAGATTGTCAATAATTCTGTGCATAAAACATTAAGATGTGATCCAGGTACACTGTTGCTACATGTCATATGCCCCTTACTGCTGGGCCACCAGGACAGCAGATTTGATCTTGTGTTGCACTTACACTGGACATCTACTGATAGAGGCGATGACATGATCTGTCCATATTGATTCTCAGACTTGCAGTGGTAGATCCCTCTGTCCTCAGAGCTGATGGAGGTGAAATGATGAATACCTTCTGGTCCTTGAAACAGTGTTTGGTTCTCCTTGTACCAGGTATAAGTAGCTGCTGGGTTAGCATCACTGCTACAGGTCAGATTCACTGAACTGCCCTCCACTATCTCACCAGAGGGACTCACTGACACAGAGGGAACCCTCGGAGCATCTGCAAAAGATATTAAGATGAAGATAGCTTTCTTTGGTGCTAAATGTTGTGAAGAATATGAAATGTTTCAGGTGGTGTTTCTGGCATGAAGATCATTTCTTGCAGACAGTGTTGATAACAGGACAGAAGTCTTTTTTTAATGTAATGTTTGGGCTTTTTTTTGCTTTTAATTGACAGTGACAGCTGAAGATAGACTGGTAAGGCAGTCCTTCCAGAAAAGTTTTTTTGTGATTGTTGCGGGCAAAAATCCTTGATTATGCGGCACGTTTTCTTAAAAAATGCGATATTGATGCAATTTTATGCGATGAAATTGCGGGAACTTGCAAAAATTGCAAGAAAGTGCTGGGAATATTTAAGTTCTCATCTTGTTTTATTTCAGACCTTAGTAAACACATGGCTCAAACTTACAAAACACTGATGAGTCAAACAAGTTCTGTAGCTTTATAAAAGGAATATGCTACAACTTCTGTAAAAATGAATAAATAAAATATGAAAAAATAAAATGTGTGCTTCCTGTTTTAAAGAGATAAATATACAAAACAGACATCTTCTGTTAAAATAAGTGCTTCCAATGCACAAAGTGCAATCTCTTACTGTAACGTAAATTTACATACTACTAATAGTATACCTATACTTACAATACTGTAAGGTTTTCATCGTGGGGTTTACAGCTTTTCGATGATGTTCACGTCGCGTAATTACGTCACTTGATAACGTTCCCATGGCAACAGGGGAAAATGGCTGCTCTTGGGTGAAGTAAACGCAACATATTTCAACTTTCTGCTAAGATATATGTGACATTTTTGCAACGGAAATGCATGGATTATGAAATCATGCAAGCCCCGCATATTTTGCGCAGAAATCTGCAATTTATACAGCGAAAGTGCAGGGTATTTGAAAAAAATGCGGCCCATGCATAAATATGCAGACTTTGGCTGATTATGCATTGAATTATACGATCGCATAATCACGTTTTTCTGGAGGGACTGGTAAGGGCTATCCAGGAACCCAAAGACAGAAGTCTTCAGAAGATCATTTTTATCAGACAGGGTTGATAACAGGACACAGGTCTTTGGCCACATTGGATGTTGGATGGATATTTATGTGTGGGAGCATCTGAAACTTTAATGATGGTTTTCTGGATTGCTGATGGTTTGAATCCCCTGAACATCCGTACAGATCTTGGAGCCAATTGTAAATAAAACTGCCTTTTCATCATCTACTGTAGCTGCTCAGTGAACTACAGCAGCAGACTGTGAATGTGAAACAGACAGAGCTGAAGAAAGTGCATGATCAGCAAAACATCTGACTGAGTAATAAAGCTTTAAACAGTTGTCATTAGTTACAAGATGCTTTTTAATTATGAGAATTTTACTCACATTTCACATTAATAGAGATGTAGTTAGATGTCTTCTTTCCCAGTTTGTTCTCAGCTGTACAGTAATACTCTCCAGAGTCAGAGGACTGGATGGACCTGAAGACAAGCTGTGGTTCTTTACTGGGAGGTTGAAGGTATTGATTTCCATTCCTCTTGTACCAGGTATAAGTAGCTGCTGGGTTAGCATCACTGCTACAGGTCAGAGTCACTGAACTGCCCTCCACTATCTCACCAGAGGGACTCACTGACACAGAGGCAACCCTCGGAGCATCTGGAGGAGAAAACATGAACATGTTTTAACTTTAAGATGCAGATGAGTTTTCACAGTGGAACTGGAGATTAAGATGTACAATATAAATGCTGAACAACAGACAAAATAAGAAGCTAATATTAGCCATAAAGTGGACGTTGATTCACTCCTTTCACACACATCAACAAGTAGACGCTGTCTTGTTACTTTGGGCCTAAAATTATAAGATTAAGTAAGTAAAGCTTTATTTATATAGTACTTTTTAGAACACAATCACAAAGTGCTTCACAAACAAATAAATATGAACACACACATACAAATGTAAATACACATATGTATATATCAATGTATACATACACAAACATACACAATCATATACCTTCATAACCAATGGATAAATACTAACATACAGATGAATCAAACAAGAGGAAAAGAGAGACAACAACAATAAGTAAACAAACACAGGACAGGAGATCTATAAAAAGGCTTGCAGAGGAGGGTTTTGAGGAGCTGCTTAAAACAGTCCAAGGATTCATCAATCTGAGTGATTGGGGAAGGTGATTCCACAGTGTTGGGGCTAAACAGCGAAGGCACGGTCACCTTTAGTTTTGCAGTTAGAACGGGGAATGGATAAAAGACCAAGATTTAAGGAGAGCAGTGGTCGAGGAGTGGAATGAGGAACAAGGAGATCTGAAATGTAATTGGGGGGCAAGGTCATGAAGAGCCTTATATGTAATCAGCAGCATCCTGTAGATAGGGCCCGAGCAGTAACACTGCGAAGGCCCTGTTGAAAGTGCTCAGGTTATTATTGTTTTAATACCAAATTAATCGCATTTTTGGAGGTCGCAACATGCTTGACCGCTCACAAAACTTTGCACAAAACTTGGTGGTAGCGAATAATTTAGTATTCTATTGGTGCCGTAAATGGCCGTCGCAAAATGGCTTAGCCACACCCCCAGCTGAATGTTGGTAATGTTGGAAAATTGGTACACAACACTCCATTTTAAATTTTGTTTACTTCAAAATGTATTTGGAAAAACAAACTACTAGTATATGAAGATCATTTCTATCAGACAGGGTTGACTACAGGACAGAAGTCTTTGGCCACATTGGATGTTGGATGGATATTTATGTGTGGGAGCATCTGAAACTGATGGTTTTCTGGATTGCTGATGGTTTGAATCCCCTGAACATCCGTACAGATCTGGGAGCCAATTGTAAATAAAACTGCCTTTTCATCATCTACTGTAGCTGCTCAGTGAACTACAGCAGCAGACTGTGATTGTGAAACAGACAGAGCTGAAGAAAGTGAGTGATCAGCAAAACATCTGACTGAGTAATAAAGCTTTAAACAGTTGTCATTAGTTACAAGATGCTTTTTAAATCAGCTGCATTTTACTCACATTTCACATTAATAGAGATGTATTTATATGTCCTCCCCAGCTCAGCTGTACAGTAATACTCTCCAGAGTCAGAGGACTGGATGGACCTGAAGACAAGCTGTGGTTCTTTACTGAGAGGTTGAGGGTATCGATTTCCATTCCTCTTGTACCAGGTATAAGAAGCTGCTGGGTTAGCATCACTGCTACAGGTCAGAGTCACTGAACTGCCCTCCACTATCTCACCAGAGGGACTCACTGACACAGAGGGAACCCTCGGAGGATCTGAAGAAGAAAACACGAACATGTTTTAACTTTAAGATGCAGACGAGTTTTCACAGAGGAACTTGAGATTTAGATGTACAATATAAATGCTGAACAACAGACGAGAGAAGAAGCTTTCTGCTACATTTGGATTTCTGCAACATTAAACATGCAAATAACAACAAGAGAAAAGAAATGTCAATCAGAAGTATTGATGTAAGTGTATTCTATAAGACAACAGAACAGTGTAACTTTAGGAACTTTTGTCCTCTGCTCAGTGTATTATTAAATTAAAACTGATGTATTTTAAAATGTAATCCTGCTAATTATCCCCATTTTTACTAAATGTAACTGTAATGGATTAAATTGACCTTTCCTGTATCATGATTACGTGACTCACTTACATGCAGTGCGTTACTCCCCAAGTCAGAATACTAGTGACACTAACAACTTGTAATTCCTCACAACTTGAAACATCTTTTCACTCCTGTTTTTGTGGAGTGACCAGAGTAAAAATGTTAGTTAAAACCTTGAACCAAGATGTTTATTGCATCTGAAATTAAGGGTCAAGATTGCTGAATCACAAATTTACAAGGAGAAGTGTCGACTAAAGACAGAGGAACATAAAATCATGGAATATCTATGATGATATAAGTTTTTGTTGTCATTTAAATGTCCCCCATCATTTCTTCCAACAGAATGGCCACACAAAGAATTTACAAACTCTAAAGACTCCACAAATCTTGTTTAGAGCGGTTATTTTACATAGTTTACGGTGAAACAGAAAATATTTGGGTTTTATCCAGTTCTTCTATATGAATCATCAAATAACACTGAATTAGTTAAGTTACAGTAAGAAGGTTAAAGGCTCCATCAGATGATGTTATGTTAGTGGAAGACTGTAAGTAAACTCACACACTGGAGGAGAGGGGAACTTCTCATATCCTTCTACAGCACAGGAATAGCTGTCTGCAGGATAAACAGAGACTGAATATGAAGATGTTCTTCTCTCCATCTTCTGTCCATTCTTGTACCAGACGTAGTGAAGATGATCAGGTAGACGACAACTGCTGTGACACTTCAGTTCTGCCCGGTTATAAGACTTGTAGACCAATAATCTGCTCACCTGCACCTGGAGATCTGAATATGTGAATAAGGAACAGAAGTCTTCATTTAAGACTGAACTGTCAACACACACACACACACACACACACACAACACACACACACACACACACACACACACAAACACAAATTACCTTCATAAGATGTTGAAAATGTTACCTGTAACCATTCCTGTAACAGACAAAGTGACTCCAGGTGAACCAGTATATTTCCCATTATGTTGGTTTGTTATGAATCTGAACTTGTACTCAGCTGAGTCGCTCTCTCTCAGGTCTGTGATTCTCAGAGTGCAGTCGTTGTTACCACAGATATACTGCACACGACCTGAATACTCTGGGTCTGATCTTATATCCACATAGTCATTATTTCTCGCTCTCGTAAACCAGAATTTTTCCTTAACTTGGGTTATACGGTCATTTATCCTGGATGGGTATCTGTAAGTGCAGCTTATGTCCACTGTTGATCCTTTTAAGGCACAGATCTGAGTAGAGGTGTAAGTCACTCCCCAGTCATCCTGACCCTGTACCACTGTAACACAGAGCACATCAGGGCACACGATCAAAATCAACAATCAGTTTATAAGAAGAAACAAATCATAAGACCAATATGATTTGGGGAAAAAGAAACCTGGAAAAGCTTCCAAATCCTCAATTATTTGATTAATTATTGTACTAACCCGTTCCTAATCAGGCATCTATCTAATTAGAATTGAAGTGGAATATATAGTTTTAGCAATTATGGAGCTAAAACTATGCTATATATGATATATGCTGATACACACACATGACACGCCTCACTCCATAATCACTAACCAAGCGCACCCTTCCAATCTGGTGGTCTATTTAAACTGCACAATTTCCCAGCTCTCCCTCTGCTCTGTCAATGCCGCTGTTGCCCTGCATTCGTATTGCTGCCTGCTGCTCTGTAAGCCCCACCACCACCCCAGCATCCACCTGTAGGCTCCGGCTAGGGTTTAAGGTATTTGCTCATCACTCCCCAATATCTCTATATAAACATATCTGCGAGGAATGATGAGGTCGGAGCCTAGACGCCAAAATCTAAATATGCTATACTGCTGTGATAAACATTTCAAACGTGAGTTGTCTGACTAAATTACCAGAGTAAACACATACATGGAGAAATATTTGCTCAGTTTTACACAGTCAAAGAAAGAGTGGAAAATGGAAATGAAATCTACAGTTCATCTGTAGAAAGCATGTGTACATTTTCCACTCTATGATAAAAGTCAAGAACTGTAGTGAACACATAGCATGGAAATATCACACTGAGGTCAGTACAAAAAAGAACTGGCAGGGTGTGTCGCAGATGTGTGAACAAGGAAGAGAAGAAACAGAGCAATAGGTTTGCACAGAGTGAGGAGGGAACAGATACTCAAATACCCACAATACTCTGAGTTTAACATACATAAAAGTGCTCAGCACACAGCTACTTTATGCAAAAGACGAGAACAAAAGACGTTGGCAAAAGAAATAGAAGATTGTTCTAATATCTATTACAACTGACAAATTAATGTCTGGAGAGTTTAAACGATTGTTCACTAAAAGTCTTTCACACAACTTTGATCCACTTCTTTCCACATTTTCCCAGATCCCCCTCTTTTAATGCAGTGAATGTAACTGTAGATATACAGTACCTGACACAGAGAGAAGGAAGACAACAAATCCACTCGCTGCTGCACTTAAACTCATAGCTGCTCCTCTCATCTCTCTGTGAGGCTTCAGAGACAATAAAACATGTCAGCAGGTAAAATAATAATGTACACAGGAGGTAAACAGTATCAGTCACATCAATAAACAATTCTACTTACACTGAAGAAGGACGTCGTCTTTAAATCTGTCTTTCCTCTGTGATCTGGAAGCAGAAGACGGATGTCAGGCTGTTAAAAGACTAGCTTTACTTCCTCTTTTTATTAACATACATGATAAGGCAAATGCCAGTAAACACCCACATCACAATGACGATGTCATGTTTTGCAAGCAACCAACTTTATATGAGAGAGTAAGAAACTAGGGCTATGACCCGTTGGTACCAAACCTGTTTCATTACCAACATCCCACTGACATAAAGTATATTCTGTATATTCTGACCCATATATGTATATGTGTTTTTTTTACGAGGACACTGGTGAGCAAAGCATCTGAGAAACAGTGTGATTCTGTCGACTGTGTACAAAGCAGCTGTCAAACTCTACATCAACAAATCTGCAGACTCACTTGCTAACATTAGCCTGCCATTGAAGTGAGGCAGTGGAGTGAAGGGACCAAGATGAGCGGAGCATACATATATTTTACTTTGTGTTTATAGATAATTTATTTGAATTCATTCAAACAAATTGTATCATAAAAAATTTGCTCAAACGTGATTTTTGCAAAAAGTGCCAGCCCTACTGCCCTCTGGTGGCTGACTACAGTATACGTCATAATGCTCATTGCCTTCATGTTAGCAGATGGGACAACATGACATTAGTTCTTATCAAACTGATGTTTGTTCAAGTGTTAATTTTTCTGACACCTTTAGTTTTGATTAGTTATTTTAAGCAATCAACAGTTGAGCCCTGCTCAAGACTGAGTCAGCTGGGTGTAGGGGCGGGACCGTGATACCGCGGTGCCAACCCAGATCAGACTCTGGCTCCAACTGGCAAAAGATGGGATTTTTGTACAGTGGGAGTGGAAACACGACATCCATTTTTTATGTCAATAGTCCTGATAGACACTCAACGGCCTCATAAAGCCACAAGCTGAAGACAGAGCTTTGAACCCTCAGCTACACTGTCAATTAGGTCAATAGCTCCAAGAAAAGCTGTATGTTACCTCCTTAAAGTCTGTTAATGGACCTTTGAGTTGAGATTATTTTGTCACGTTACAGTAAGGGTACAGTTAAGTTGAAATTAAACCAGTGGCAGAGCAGAAAGAACTCAATAGCAAATTGCTGCGTCCTTCCTTCCTCTGGAGTTTGTATTCCTGAGGTTGAACTCCAAACGTACACAAGTCTGAGATTGGCATATTGTACTGACAAAGTACTAGAGTCGTCTGTCACCAGCAGTTTGAGATTCTGCTGTTCAGTTTCACCTAAGAAGAGATTGTTTTTTATACCACAAGATCACTACAGTAAAAACATTAGTGCTAAATATGTAATGATACAGAAAACAGAGCTTCAGACTTGAAAAGTGGCCATTTTGGCATTTATTAGACAGAGAAGGAGGACAATACAAAAACACCCACTGCTGCTGTTCAATGCTCTTCTCATCTCTTTTCTTCAATGACAATAAAACAAATAAGAAAATGTTAATTAATCGATTAATGTACACAAGATATATTAGTCTCAAATACTTCTACAATCAGAAAGAAGCTGTCTTGAACTATAACGTCCTCTGTAGTCGGGAGGTTTAAGCAGGACACAGAAAGCAGGCAGTTAAAATACACCAGGTTTCCTTCCTCTTCACATTATTACTATGCATTGTGAATACAGTAAATGACCAAGAAAAGAACTTATTCTGTTATTTTGCAGACTATATATCAACTTCATAATGTAATCTATATGAGACAGAATGAGAGAGAGTTTTGTGGTGTTCCTTTCTGTAAATGCAGGTATAATTCAGTATCTATTCAGTATCTAGTAAAGAATATTCTGTCAATCCTTGCAGCAAGGACTGTACTCTTCAGTGCCTGATGTGACGTCTCAGAGTTGTTGCTGGGCCCGGGTGAGGACTTGTGTGAACTTGAAGAGCGAGGCCCTACTCATTGACATTCATGTGCATGAATTATGGT